GAGCCCAGGAGTTTGAGGCTGTGGTGAGCCATGATCATGTCACTGCACTGCACTCCAGCCTGGGAAACAAAAAGAGACCTCTGCCTCAAAAAAATAATAACAAAATAAAATGGATACATTAACCTATTTTAAAATCTCTGAATTTTCAACAGAATATTTAAAAAGGGAAAGAAGCCGGGCTCGGTGGCTCAGCCTGTAATCCCGCACCTTTGGAGGCTGAGGTGAGTGGATTGCCTGAGCCCGCGGGTTCGAGACCCGCCTGGCCAACTTGGCAAGACCTCATCTCTACAATAAATCAAAAATTAGCTGGGCGTGGTAGCACACACCTGTAATTCCTGCTACTCGGAAGGCTGAGGTGGAAGGATCACTGGAGCCCAGCAGGTGAGGCTGCAGTGGCCGGGAGCAGTGACAGTCTGGGTGACAGAGTGAGACTCCAACTCAATAAATAAATAAATAAATAAATAAATAAAAAGGGAAAGAAAGAGAGAGAGGGAGGCAGAGGAAGGGGGGGCGAAAGAGATGAAGTATTTTTCCTCCTCTCTCCACCACAGTTAACAAAGGTTTGCAAGGTGGAGTGAAGAATGCAATCTGATGTTGCTGTGTTTGTCAGCTGCCTAGATGTCCTGGCTGAGAGCCGCCTGCTAAAGCGCCAGTCACCAACCTTTTTGGTATCAGGGACCAGATTCCATGGAAGACAATCGTTCCATGGAGGGGGGAGGGGGGGATGGTTTGGGGATGATTCAAGCACATTACATTTATTGTGTGCTTCATTTCTGTTATTACAACGTAATATATAGTGAAATGATTATACAACTCATCACAATGCAGAATCAGTGGGAACTCCAGGTTTGCTTTCGTGCAACTAGACAGTCCCTTCTGGGGTGACAGTGACCCCTGGAGTGTGTTGCTTATGTCTAGTGTACTCCATAATTTCATTGTGGTTGCATCTCTGCAGGAAACTCTGCTTCACAAAGATAGGATGTTGGCAGTGGAAGCTCGGACAGGAGGTGGAGCTCAGGCAGTAATGCCAGCAATGGGGAGAAGCTGTAAATACAAATGAAACTTCACTTCCTCACCTGTTTCTCACCTCTGGCTGTGCAGCCCAGTTCCTAACAGGCCATGGAATGGCGTGTATGGGTCCACAGCCCGGGGGTTGGGGACCCCTAGGCTAAAATATCATGATGTGCAGACCATGACTCTACCTCTAAGTGGTCTGAGAGACCTCGCACTAGCCCTCCCTTTCCAGATATCCTGTACATCTTTGAGGAGCACCAACTGACCTGGTTACCTATCCCAAGTCACTTAGCCTCCCTTCATCTCAGTTTTCTCATCAGCAGAAGAAACTAAGCGGGTCTTCCCACCTTCAACAGTCTACGGTTAGCAGAACTCAGGATAAACATAGCATCCACATCACACAAGATGTGCCAAAGCCACAGCTAAGGGGACATGACAGGTGTCTTCTTTGATTTCTCCTTCCCTGCCTAAAATGAACAGAAAGAGTGCTTCCCACTGAGTCCCGCAAAAGCTTTCATTTTCTTCGGATGCTAGGAGAAATGGCATGGGCTTTCAGCGGCAGCATGGACCCTGCTCCTCCTGACCTCCTGTGAACTGCCCACTTTTGCTAAGAGGATAGCACCCCTCTGACACATGTCTGCTCACATGTCCCTTCGGGGAGAGGCAGGTAGCGGCAGTTCTGGCAGAAGGGAATCGCCAGGCTGCCCAGTCACTAGTGCACACTGGATCATCCTAACCAAAGCAGTGCAAAGCGGCACAGGGAATGGCAGCTCTGAGTGCCCGTGTAATGTTGTGATGCTGGGATAGGATTTGGAAGTTGCAAACCCCTAATACCAAGGTTGTCACTGGAGACACAGAGGCCGATCTGATCCCCTGTATATCCAGTCCAGGCCCAGTCTTCCCCCTTAGCCGAATCATTTGCCTCATCTGAGAGGAAAGTTTTCATCCTTCATTTCTCCTTCCCTTCCCCTGCATAGGATCTTGCAAGTACAAGCTACAGACGTGAAGAACTTAAAAGTATTAGGCTCCGTGACCTTGTATTCCACTCATGTACCTGGAATACATAACAAGATCACATAGAAAAAGATTGTTTAAGAAAGGAACTAAGGCTAGGCACATGGTGGCTCATGCCTGTAACCCCAGCACATTGGGAGGCCAAGGCAGGATGACTGCTTGAGCCCAGGACTTCAAGACTAGTCTGGACAACACAGTGACACCTCCTCTCTACAAAAAATTAGCTGAGCGTGGTGTCACATGACTGTACTCGCAGCTATTCAGGAAGCTAAGGTGGAAGGATCTCCTAAGCCCAGGAGGTTGAGGCAGTGGTGAGCCCTGATCATGCCACTGCACTGCAGTGTGGGCAACGGTGCAACTCAAAAAGAGGGGGGGAGAGAGAGAGAGAGAGAGAGAGAACTTTTTAATAGTCAAAACTGCTAAAGTCTGTCTCACCTTTGGTTTCATCTATCTGTGGCACCCTCCTCTGCTTCCTCACATCGGTGCCACCATCACTTCTGGTAGACCATTTGATGGGGCACTGACTCACCTTGTGAAAAGAGCAACCTCCCCCCAGTAGATGCCCTGTGTCTTTCATAGTCAGCTCCACAGCTCCTTTGACACCAAGGACATGTGACACCACTGCAGGGCCTTTGAGGCACTGGGCAGGAGTTGTACAATTTCAGGAATGAACAAAGGCAGATCCTCAACCAAGCAGCATAGGAAAAGAGATAAAGCATGCCTCCCTGCTGATCTTTTGGTGGCAACTCTGAAACCTTCTCCTGGTTCCTCAGAAAGTTCTAGGCGTGTTGACCTCCGGAAACCCTCACCAGTGACCTGGGTAGTGCACCCTGACACTGGATCTTCTGCTTCTCACTCCTCTCGGCCCCTCCCTCCTGCTTCCTGGAATTACCTCCCAAATAAGCTGAGAGTGCATGGGCCCTTATCTGAGACTCGTCTGTTAGAGGAAACCCAAGCTATGGCACCCGTATTCACTTATTTTCTCACCAAACATTTGTTGAGTTCATACTGTGCACCAGACTTGTCCCATCATGACAAAACAGATGTTGGCAGCCTTGCCCTCAAGAACTCTTGGTCTAGGGCATAACAAAATGTCACCTACTGAAGTTAATAGATTTGCAACTGTATAGCTGGGCAAAAGGATTTTTACAATGAAATGATTTGTCTGTTTTAGCTGAGTTCCCAAGATAACTGGTTTCAACTACTTTCATGTTCCACAGTATGATACTAGGTCACCTATGCAAGGCTTATGAAATCTTGTGGTCATTAGCTATCTTTTTGCATCCCATCGTTAGAAACTTTGAGAGAGGAAGTAGATTATAAGGGTCTTTGGTTTTTGTTTTTTGCTGATGGAAGTGGATGAGAGCCCCTTCCTTCATTTCACAAATAAGAGAGGTGGTCCAGGGATATGCTCATCTCTCCAAGTGGTCCCAATAAGCTTGACAGGTCCCCTAGGGCTTGAGGACATGGTGGGGAGGTATCTGCCCTTTGACTCTGGCCAACTCATATATTCCTCCCATGGGGCAAAGAGATGTGTTACTGGGACAAAGATGGCATGTGGGGTGCTCAAGGAGCTCGTGGGGACCCACGAGAGAGAGAGAGAGAGTGAGGGAGGTAAGGGAAGAGGAGAGGAGGGAGGGGAGGGGAGAGAAAAGAAAGAGGGGAGAGGGCAAGAGATGGAGACAGAGAAGAGAGAGAGGAGAGGAGGGAGAGACATGGAGAGACACACAGAGAGAGAGAGAACACACACACAGGGTCATCTTAAGTCCTGCCCAGGAAACTCAAGAGACCTCCCCAGAGAGGCACCACCTGGTGCCTTGTTCTGTAAGATCTCTCCATCTGGCGCCTGCCTACCTGTCCACCTGTGCTTCCTGCCAGTCTCTTTCCCCGTGTGGCTCCATCGCCACTCCTTCCTGCTAGATTGGCTGTGCCTGGGAGAACCCTTGGCTGCTCTGTCCTCCACTTGAAAGAGACAGTCCAGACTCCCAAGACTGACTTCTCCCTCAGACACCCTGGCCCTCCCGAACACTCTGGGTACCGTATGTCACAAGTCTTGGTCGTCATGTTGTCTTTATTTTTTTTACTTTGCTAGTGGCATACACACACACACACACACACACCACAAATCATGAGTTTACATCTCAGTGAATTTTCAGCTAATGGAACATAGGTATTGACCCAGCATTCAGTCCAGCTGCCAACACAACCACATTGGCAGAGAGTTGCTGGAACCCCACCCAGAGCAGCTCAGCCTTACCAGATTCTGTCTTCCCCTAATTCAATTCATGGAAGCGGGACACCTGCACCAGCCAATATCATAACGACTAGCCACCCGTGGCCCAGCAGCGCTTGGAACTAGCCGGTGCCACCTGTAGAGACGATCATGTCTTGGACAACCAGGGTTAGATAATAAGTACAATTAGTGTCACCTGTATCCTAGTGCCTTTCTAGTGTGGTTATTTGTAAAACGTTTCGTTACACACGTGGCGCTCATCGTGTTTCTACTGGTCAGCGCTGCCCGCCAGCATCTACAAGTGATTTTTCTGTCGTCTTCACGTCCGCCGCTTGTCTACGCCAGTAGACTGCAAGTTCTCTGTGGACAAGGGCTTGGGAAAGGTGAAGCGTGTTGGAAACCGGCGCCTCCCGCGGCGTCTCCCACTCGGGGACCCTGGATGCAGCCGCTTTAGCAGCGGGGCTCCTCCCGAGGCAGAAGGAAGGCGAGACCCCGAGTGTGGTCCGAGGCGCCACTAGGGGTGAGGAGGGCCGAGCAGACCCCAGCCCCGCCCGCCTGCGGGCCCTGCTCCGTGTCGCCAAGCCGCGGTTTCCAGGCAACGGCCGAACACAGACGCGGGCCAAACGCGGGTACCGGGCCAAACGCGGGTGCCTGCTGCCTGCGGCCGGCTGACTCGGGCTGAACCCTTGGGAGGGCGGGTCGGCCCACGGCCACGGCGGGGGATCTGGACCCGGACGCCATGGAGGACGAGGAGGAGGAGGAGATCACCGCCGCCACGCTGCGGGGCAAGCCCCGGCCGCCGCCCATCTCGGCGCTGTCCGCCTTCAGCTTCGTCCCGCCGCGGCGCCAGGACCCCAAGGAGCACAGCTACTACTACCGCCAGAGCCAGGTGCGCGGGGACGCGGGCTGCGGAGAAGCAGGAGGTAGGGGACCGGGAGACTGAGCCGGGCGAGGAGGGCGAGGGGAGGGGAGGGTCGCCGCCGGGGCCGGACACTGGGGGAGGGGCTCCCCGCGGGGCGGCACCCTGGG